GCGTGATTGTAATCCTTTAACTGCACGCCATTGGATTGTAAGTTTCCTCATCTCTTATTGGAGCTTTTCTATCAAAGGATATAGTAAAGTTTATATATGGGTTATGTAGCTTCTATGCTCTGCCTAAACAGTAAATAATATAATGGTATATGAACTTTTTGTTTGATGATGTACTGTATTCCTCTATCCTTCTATCAAAACTGAAGGCAGAAGCTGTATCGTGGCTATTCTCTTAGCTCAAATGCTGCAGTCTTAAATAATGGCAATAGTAGTACATTTTGCAAACTTGCCGCAGTTGATGTTTATTTAATTTGTCAATTATGGTAGTTGTGAATCCAGCACATGTTTTTTTTTGTGTTATTCGGCTGTTCCATCATGTGTATCTGAAGTTGTCTATTTTAAGTTATTGTCACTGTCTTAAACGATCCCAGCTTGTTTGGGACTGCTAAAGCTGTTGTTATCGTCAGTCTTGTGTATTTGTTTACCCCTCTGTTGTGTTATGGTGATTAGTTTGGCTTTTACTTGGACATGATGGTTAGATGGTATTTTCTTTCTTCAATATACAGATCCGGAACACAAGAACAGTCAATCGCACTGGGCAGTTAACTGGTTATAAGCTAGTACCAGGTTCAAATTGTCTGCCACTAGCTGGTTCAGAGGCAAAATTCTTGAGGAGAGCTGCCTTCTTAAAGCATAATCTTTGGGTCACCCCTTACTCTCGTGAAGAGATGTTTCCTGGAGGAGAGTTTCCAAATCAAAATCCCCGTGTTGGTGAAGGTTTGGCTACTTGGGTTCAGCAGAATCGATCCCTAGAAGAAACGCAAATAGTTCTTTGGTTAGTCCATTCTCAATACAGATTAGATTTCTTATGGCGACAAAAAAGTATACTAATTACTCATTTTTCTTGTGTCTTGGCCATTCTCATCTGTTATTTCAAGGTTTATCATCTAAAGTAGTGGTGGCGAATATGCGGGTTGGGTCATATTTGGGCGGGTTGAAAATGGGTAATAACTGAACCTGCCCATGTGTGGGTAAAATGGATTGGGTAACAAATGGGATGGGTAAAATACAAGTTTACCCTTACTTTCATGAGTAAATAGTACTCTACTTATGTGGAGAAAATTTTATGGTCTTTTTTTGGATGAAAAATGTTAAAATACTTTGGTTAGTTTTATTATATCATAAAAGTAAAAATAAAAGTATTTTTTTTTTGGTAAGTAAAATTTTATTTACCAAGTAAACGTTACAAAACAAGAAAATTAGCCGGTATGGACATAAGCTCCATCCTTGCTAAACCAACTTCCATACCTACTAGCTATTCCTATGGGTAGTTATTCAAATTGCATAATCTAGTAGCTATTCTAGGATACCTTATACCTCTCCCATGGATATCTTGAATTATCCTTCTGATCAAGCATCCTGCTGCCTGATGTTTTTGTTGAAATATACTAGCATTACGCTCTAACCAAATATGATAAATGGTGCTTGCCATTGCCATTCTATACACAAGTGTCCTACTGCTTCCTCCTTTCATGTATTTCACTGCCCATTATATCTCATTAATCCAATTCATTACACTTCTTGTTATGCCTTGCCACTGCAGTATACCCCTCCACACCTCTTCTGCATGTACATTGGAAGAAAATATGATCATGATCTTCATCCATTTGTTGACATAAGGGACGAGTTAATACTTGTAGAATTCCCCATTTTGCCAATCTATCCTTTGTTGCAAGTCTACCATTTACTGCCAGATTCATGATGAATAGCCAAAACATCAGCAAATCATCAGCAGAACTTAAGTGCACTATTTTTTGTTCTTTGCTCCTAGGATGGTAGTGAAACTCAGGCTTTCCCTGCAGAGTCTTTAAAATTCTGGTCAGATAATCCATGGCTAGCACAAACAAATAAGGAGACGTTGGATCTCCTTCCTTACTCCTCTCTTTGCCTTAAAAGGTTTTGTGTTATGTCTATTTACCTGGATGGAATAGGTGACTGGTGACACATTGCATGTTCCATTTTATGACTTTAGATGGCATTTGAACTTCTTCCAATATTTGCTCCAAGAATGTCCATTCCAAGGAATCATATGCTTTCCTCATATCCACTTTTATCATACATCTCCTAGAAATTCCTTGTCTACCATATCCTTTGATCAATTCATGACTCAATATAACATCATCATTCAAAGCCCTCCCTGGCACAAAAGCTGACTGATTTGGTTCCACTAATGTTTCCATAACAGGTTTTAGTTTGGCAGTGACTACTTTAGCTATGATTTCATATAATGTTGAGCAACATGATATAGGTCTGTACTCATTGATTTTGGTTGGATTCTGCACCTTAGGAAATGAGGGTCACATTTGTAGAATTGATTGCCTTGTACATTTCCCCTGTATCAAAGAAATTTAGTACAGCATTAACTGTCTCCTCTCCCACCACAGGCCAAGCCTTCTTGAAAAATACAGCATTAAGTCCATCCCTACCTGGGGCTTTGAGATTATTTATTCCCTGCAAAGCAAATTCCACTTTCTTTCTTGTGACTGGAGCTGTTAATTTCAATTGTTGTCCCCTATTAATCTTACTTTTTAATATTGAAAAAAATTCATGTAATAACAAGGGGGAAATATTTTTGATTTCAAAGTAAAAGAATATTTGTATTTTAGGATTAAAACGTATTTAATGCATTTTAATCAGTGTCTTACTTAACACTATTGTTTGTTATCCAATATAAAATTTTAAAAATTAATTATTATTAACAATGAAATGTACATTTAATATATATAATTTTTTGGAGGGTCAAAGATTGCACCTTTTCAATTATAGAGAGGAATAATTTGTTGGAAGCTTGACCTATTTGGTCTTTACCCACGAATACCTATATTTTGATGGGTTGAATATGTGTTTAAACCCGATTTTATCCAAGTAAAAAATCACTCAACTCATTAGAATATGAGATGATTTGAGGAGTTATTGAAATATGAGCTCAATTTGCCGGCACTAATAGAAAGAACTTCACAAAGAGGAGATACACAAAAGTGCAACCATTGGAGTGAAAATATGTTATTGACATTCACTAAAGGGGTTGGGAAGAGGGGAAGGGAGGGTTCAGTGGAATGATGAAAAAATGGATAAAAGAGCAATTAGTACAGCTAAAAATTGAAACGAAACATTATGGCTATCAAGCTTGTTACATATTTCTGGTTATGCTGACCAAGTTTTCTAAATTTTCAGGTATATTTTTGGACTTATACATGTTCCACGGCTAGAAGACTGGCCTGTCATGCCAGTGGAACACATTGGTTTTATGCTCCAGGTATAGTAAATGGGCTTTGACTTTTTTCTTTCTTGATCGGCAGTGTCATTCCACATATACAGTAGAAATCCTTTTCACTGGTAAAACATGTGCCCAGTTAAGCATATCCATCAACAGGTGTTTAGCATTATCTAATTCTCACCCATTTACTTTTCACAATGGATTGGGGCTGGGAGAGCTAAAGGCTTTGTTCTAGTGGGAGTGACATGATCACAACATGTGATGTGTGGGTTAGTGGGACATCATGGATTTTTGAACCTTGCTGAAGCTGTAGTCTTGTATTTAAGTGGTAAGTCAGTAGAGGAGGATCCTCTATATGCTGGATTTCTAGCTTGTTCCCCACAAGTCCTCGGATATTAATGACTTCTTAACAAAATAGAACTGGGGTTGAGAATAGGTTGGGCTGTGTTTCTTGTGACACTACTAGCACTCGACGCGGCATTTGTTCCATATCTTTACAGCTTGTGTTTATGTTGGTGAAATATTTCTGGACTTGTGTACCTGCATTTGAGTTGATAGGTTGGCTCCCACCTTCAAGTTTTTTGTTTTTTTTTGTCTTCTCTCGAAGCAAAAGAATTTCTTTTCCGAGGATATGGTGATATCCATCATTGTGAAACAACCTACAACGGTTTTTGTAAATTCTATGCTCCACATGACTATGTTAATTCTGTTGTTGATAAATGTTGTTTATGATGCAGCCTCATGGGTTCTTCAATTGCTCCCCAGCTGTTGATGTTCCTCCCAGCATGTCTGACTCAGATATTAAGGAAAACGGGACAGTGGCAAAGTCTTGCCACAACGATGGTGTAATGTCTAAGCTTTGATAGATTCAATCTAGTTTTGTCTTCAGGGATCGTGTTGCACAAATGCTTTCTTATCTTTGTATTTGGATTGAATAAGCGATTTCTTGTGAACATAAACATTCGACTGCAAGTTGGCATATTATTGTTCTATGGTGTCTGAATTTGTCTTGTTTTGTGCTAAGTAAAATAAATACTCCCAACTGCAATCTGAAGAATTCGTGCTATCCCGAGGAAGAAACTTAAGACATATCCCCTGCTGCTATCTCTTTTAATTCATCATAATTTTTCCCTCAGCTACCAACTATGCATATCGCACGTCAATATGCTTGGTTCTTCCATGCAGATATGTTATGACAAAAGCCCTTTTAATGTATAAGTAAAAATACTGAAACTATACCAATACAGCAAAGCTTATTGTGGTTTAAACCTATACTACATGTACTTCAACTATATTTTTAGAATGAAGTATTGCTAAGCAAGACTCGGTCGAACAAGTCTTTCATATTAGTAGTTCATCGTTCCCCATTTACAAGCACAGAAGTTAAAAACCTAAAATGATCTTGCTCCATTTCGACGGACATTAGACCTGATAAACCAAGTACATAAACTTTTCATCTCAATCCATAATTAGAATAAGTAACACATTCATTAAATCCAAACTGAAAAGGTGTTAAACAATCTAATCAGTCCAGAGTCACCCCCGCCCCCCTCTGTAATAAAGTTGAACGTCTCTCATCAGAATACGGTGGCTGAGAAGAAAAACAAAAGGTATACGACACAGTTTGGAATGAAAAACCACTAGCATAAAAATAGAGTAAATAATTACAAAATCAGATGAGATAATTGTGGCATACACAAAAAAGATTGATCAATATCATAAATCATTTCAAGACTTGTTTGGCTTTCGTGACAGATTCTGGACAAGTAGTTGTGGATTGTCGTTCCAAAGTGATGTCAAAGACACTGCGTTTGGGTCCTCTGTCGTTTCTTAGACCCTCAAAATATTTCTGAGCGTGGCTCGTGATTTGCGTTGGCGTCCTACTTAGCACAAACTCCTTGGAAACTCTAGTCCAATTTCTTCCCACTTTCTCCATTCCAATCAAGAATGCTTCGTGTTCCTCTTCAGTCCATTTTCCTTCCTGCTTCCTTGATAGTAAATTCACTGAGTCCCCATTATTAGAATCATTGTAACTGATTGGCATTGGTGAAAGTGGTCTTTCTTCTTTCCCTGAAGTAGACGATGACAACTCCACATTACTTGTTGATTTCGCTGCTTTGTCATTCCTAGTCTTTTGCCATGCAAAATATTTCTGAGCATGACTCGAAATTTGTGTTCTCGTTCTGCTTGGCACAAACTGTTTAGCGATTTCACTCCAATTTCCTGTTCCTAGTTTCTCCAATCCACACAAGAACGCCCGATGTTCCTCTTCACTCCATCTTTTTCCTTTCTTTTTTTCATCATTACTGATCTTAACACCAAATAGTTTAAAACTACGATTGCTGCTATCCCCCATTTCCTTTAACAAAGTATGAGCATTGGGAAATCCAAATTAGAAAACTAACGACTAGGAAATTAAAATTGTAGTTCAAGAAAACAGAGTGTGCGCTTTCTAAATAGTAAAGAAAATCAAAGAGGTGAAAGAGTCGTGACTTTTCTGAAAAGTTGTGATTTTTCCAAAAGACGTGATTTTTGTACGATAAATTATCTTTTATGGTATATAAATTATAAATAAATATAGGGTTCCTCATAGTATTTTCTTCTGAACAAACAAACAAATTCTAGTGTACTTTAGTGCTATCTGATTTAGTTCTTTCAAGCTCTCTGTTCATCTTCCTCCCTTACTATCTAATATGATGACTAGTAACTCATCCCTCTGGTCTCACTTGTTGATTCTTCTCCCCAAAAATTAACGTTGTTCACAATAATTTCAACGCCAAACAATTTGATGGTTTCTTCAATTTTCTTTGCCATAATTTTTCACTCACTACTCTTTTTTTTTTCTTTTCAAATGGCAACCAATATCTTCCAATTATAATATTTATACATGTAGTGTGATAGCCGTTAACTCGTTTTCCTATTCCTAATCCGTTTGGAGTCTGTTAAACACAATAAGGAAACCGTGTATTCATGAACCAAATAAGGAAATAACTTTGAGAAAATGTTATTTATGCATCTATAAAAATAAAAAAGTCAAATCGATTTTGGAAATTTGATTATTTTTTTTAAAAAATGACATGGACAATTCATCATTCGCCACATGGAAAAAATGGGTTTGTAAAATTGGATGATTTTCCGTTAATCCATAATAATGACATGGATTCATTTTTTTTTCTTTTTTTCTTTTACGGATTTCTTTTAACAAAGTATGAGCATTGGGAAATCCAAATTAGACAAGGAGTAGGAAATTAAAATTGTAGTACAAGAAAATAGAGTGTGCTTTCTAAATTTTATGAAAGAAAATCTAAGAGGTGCGACTTATTAAAGGGTTGTGATTTTTTCCGAAGGATAATGACTTTTACGGAAAGTTATGACTTTTTTGAAAAGTTATGATTTTTTCAATAAAGTACAATAAGCATATGAAATGTTCGTAGTAACTGATTATAAATTATAAAAAAAATTATAAATAAAGGTTCTTCAATGTTTGTGAATGTCTTTTCTTCTGCACAAATATATTCTAGTGTACTTTAGTGTCATTAATTGATTTGTTGCCAACATTGTTTTAGGATTCGATTAATTGACTATCTAAACTTTCAGTAGTCTGATTTAGTTCTTTCAAGCCCAGCAAAATTCAGACAACTTCAATTCTTCCAACAATTACCCAAAAATAGTAGCCGATGATGTTTGTTTTTTTGTTTGAACTTTTATGGATTTGTTTCGTCAAAATGTAGTTGTATAACAATTATCCAATTATTTATAAGGTAATCTCTCCTCTGTTAAAGAACTTAATCAAAAAATAGGAAATACTGCTAGATGGCTACCAGATTAGCAGCAAAGTACGCTTTTAGTTCCTTTTGGCACAACAAAACAAGGTAGTAATACGGGAGAAGATGGTCCAGTAATCTTCTCCAGCAGGGTGGCCATAGCGAGATAGAGTGGTGAAACTGGGTTCCAAATAAATAAAAAAAACAGAGCGAGCGGGGAAGGCAAAAGCTATGACATTGGAATCCGCTTCAAGATAAGTCCCACTCCACTGAATTGGAGAATTCCAGAACACGTATCAGAGAGTGCTCCAATGGCAGTGGGGCACAATTGAGATAATTTGAGTTATTTATATAAGGAAAAGGAAAGTAAGTTATAAGGAAAAGGAAAGTAAGTAAGGTAAACAAAAAATCCTTCTTTTTCTTTGAACCCACCCAATCAAAAATCCTCCTTTGAGAAAAGGAGAATCGAAAAAATAATATTTTCATACAATATCTTAATTGAATTATATGTATTGATCAATAAATTAAGTTGAATTCTATATCTACACATACCAAAAACATAGAAAAATCCGAATACCAATCTAATCGATTCTATAGATATTTGGGCTAGAGTTGACAAACAAACAAAACCAGCAATATACTTTATTAGTATCGCATAGAAATCTAAATGGGGCGTGGCCAAGTGGTAAGACAACGGGTTTTGGTCCCGCTATTCATCTGAATGCTACATGAAGAACATAAGCCAGATGACGGAACGGAAAGACCCAGGATGTAGAAGATCATAACATGAGTGATTCGGCAGATTTGGATTCATATATATATCCACCCATGTGGTACTTCATTCTACGATATATATAAGATCCATATGTATAGATATCATCATCTACATCCAGAAAGCCGCATGCTTTGGAAGAAGCTTGTACAGTTTGGGAAGGGGTTTTGATTGATCAAAAGAAGAATCTACTTCAACCGATATGCCCTTAGGCACGGCCATACATAACATAGAAATCACACTTGGAAAGGGTGGACAATTAGCTAGAGCAGCGGGTGCTGTAGCGAAACTGATTGCAAAAGAGGGGAAATCTCTTTTTCTTTTAAATCAGATGACTCGCAGCTGCTTCAATTTGTGTCACAATCTCTACCTCTCGAGGTGATCACTCTGTGGTGAGCACTTTGTGCGCATTGGGTAAACCTCCATTGTGTAATAGCCTGCAAATCACACGGGGACGTAAACCTCACTAGATTCTATTCTCTTCGTTGTCTCTTTTTTCTCTTCATATATAGGAATTTGTTGCATTTTAGCCGAGGGTGTTTCTGAAATAATCTATCTACCTTCTCATGTTTGTGGTTAGGTTTGTGTGTATTCTACCTCTTCAGACATCAATCATGAGATTTCACTAAATATATTGTTGTCTTCTAGGAGTTACTTCTATGAAAAATTATAAACGTAGATAAATTTTTATCATGTCTTTGCTTAAAATTAATAAATACTTTTTTAAAAACATTTACAGCTTGAAACTCATAAATAGGAAAATGAATACAAATTATTTAGATATACCAACTATTAGTAATATTTTTCTTACACTTTTATTTATGATAAGATAAGAATTAAGAAGAAGTTATCGCCTGCTGGATTGTATTGTAAAGTGACCCTCACTTCCAATCCTAACAAAAATGTAGAAACTCATTGGGAAGGTTTAAAAAAAAAGGTTATTCCTAATTTTATTTAAGTAATTATCTTTAATATATTTTATTACCAACATAAGTGCTTCACCCTTAACCAGATGAAACTTTACGCGATGATCCTTGTCCGTCCTTAACTTCCTAACTAGTACTAATTCGGGAGAACCAAGTCTAGGATATTACTCTTCTAAATCAGGAGTTGCAGTAATTTGGGTATTGATCAATATTATTACAATGAAAATTGTAGTGCTACCCCAAGTGACAAATACAAAATAGTTACATCATGAGACACAAACATAAAGCCGTTAACTTGTACATTACTGAAAAGATTCAAAATTGGGTAAATGTTGTGTGTTGAAATAGCTAGAGAGATAGATCTAAATCATCCGTGGACGCAGAACTAGACTGAGACGAAGCCCCGCGGACTACTGGAGTTGCATTAGTTGACGATATTGACATGAAATTAAACTCATAACAGGCATAGCTTCCATTAGGAGGAAGTATGTATCTGATTGGCATTGCTGAAATTGGACTTTCTTCATTCAAAATCTCTTTGTGATCTTTCTTGTTATACGCCCTTTTCGACAACAATTGAAGACGAGTATTTGAGGATTCTTCGTCCAAATCAATGTCAAAGACACTGCGCTTTTTGTGTTTGTTTACTTTGTTTTCTTTTTGTCTATCAAAATACTTCTGGGCATGACTCGCAACTTGTGTTGGTGTCCTAGTTGGCACAAACTCTTTAGCAATTCGAGTCCAATTTCCTTTTCCAACTTTATCCAATCCAATCAAGAACGCTCTCTGTTCATCTTCACTCCATCTTCCTCCCTTACTACTACGACGACTAGTACAACAACTCGTTGATTCTTCAACGTTGTTCACATGAATTTCAGCGCCAAACAATTTGATGGTATTTGCCATAACTACTGTTTTTAGAATGAGTAAGAAGTGCAATATCTTCCAATTCTTTATATAAGTAGTAGTGTGTTAGCCGTTAACTCGCTTTCCTATTCCTAATCGGTTTGACACAATAAGGAAACCGTGTATTCATGAGCCAAATAAGGAAATAAATACGTTATTACAACTTAAAAATTACTATTAAGGTAAACAATGCAAGAAACGAAAGTATAGCGTTACTCAAAATAGACTAGTACTAATTAATTAAGGGAAAAACTTATATTTTCTACTTTTTCGATACCATTTATCAAAAAATTATGTTGTATATGTATATACGTTAAATTCTTAAAACTTAGGAATTGGGTAAGTTCTTTTAGTTTCTTTTTAGTAGATTTGATGTGTTTTATTGTTGGTTTGCTAGTAAAAATAGGGTTCGATAACTAAGCGTGGAAAAGTAGAACTGTTCAGTCACCTTATAGTCTATGAGTCATGGTTTGAAGTGTGTCTATCTAAATTAAGAAGTTTTGGGTTCTAAGCCTTAAATACCACAATATTTTTTTTTGTTTTATTTTGACAATCGCACACCATTATAAATTTGTAGCTTCCGCCACTCTAGGCTCCTAGTTCAAACCCACGACTCATAGCTATCCTCATGAATCTAAAGGCTGGCTGAAAGATTCTACTTCTCTACACTTAGCTACTGAATCCTATTTTAATGACAAATCAACTATAAAACACATCAAATCTACTAAAAAGAAGCTAAAGAACTTACTCAAATTCCTTATATGTGTAAAGTTACTAATCAAAACGAATAATAAGTTGTTTGAGATTTTCTTGAGAGGAGATTATATTAAAGCCTAGAATTTTATTAATAAAAGAAGCCAAATAAGGGTAGTTTTGGAATATCAAATAAAATTTATCACTTAAATTAGCTTAGTTACAAAAATATCAAAATAAGGGAGATGAGTGTAATATGTCATGCCACAAGGGAAATTAGAGTCAATTTTACTAT